CATCACTGAATCCATCATCATCTTCCTTGATGCCAATCATCTATATTGTTGCTATTACCAGCAACATCGTCCACTTCTTCGGTGACTATCGCTACCACTTATCTTCAATGTCACCTTATTGTAGACAGTGGAATAACAACACTCATCATCAACATCATCATCATCATCATCATCATTATTACATCACAGCTTACACACCTCATACAACAGGCATCATTACCATTACAGTAAAATTTATCTATGCTATTACATCATCATTATCACAATATATGCACATCCTAGCAACATCAAAACATAAATTTACCAAATCTTCAGATAAGAATCTTTCCGCTGCGATTTTGGCTCGGGAAATTTCGAGATTCAAGCGACCTTTTTGCTTTCTCTACTTCATAATAACAACAATGATCAATACTTCCTAGCGACTTGTCTGTCACCTGATGATAAATATTCAATTGCCATTCAAGCATTATATTTTGAAAGCTGCACGAGTACGAGCGATGTGAGCCAATATCATATCAATAGCGGGAGGTTAGCATAAAAGTAATACAAAGTCATAAAATAGTTTAGATACTGCTTTGTGCTAAGTAGCATTCAAGCGAAAAAGAGTATCGAGACAAATAAGACAAAGTAGATTAGCTATCTGTATGAATATTTGTAAAATTCCTACAAGTAATTTCCCGTGAATTCAAAGAATGTTACGTCTAGTAGCACGCGCGTCCGACTGAGCCGAGTGCGGTTTTTTTTATACATTTTTGATGTTTTAATATATTTAGTCGGTGTAAATAGAATTAAAACGCAGGATTTTATGTTAAAATGCTGTCATATTTGATGTATGCGTCTATATTAAWATGAACATTATATATGATTTATGTAGCGYTTGTACCCGATATTTCCGCCATTAGTAGCGAGAATTTCTGCTTTAATTATTTGTAAATGAATAAAAATTGATCTGAGTATCAGTACATTATATATTAGAACAACAGTAATATTCACAGGAAAAACACCGACATTAAAACATACATTACTTAAAAGTGTATAGTTCTTAACTCCAAACAAAGTTTTAGATGACATGAATGTCTAAAATCCTACGTAAACAACGAAAACTTGGAATAAAATAAATACAATTTAGATATATTTTCTTCAACACTACGTTTTGATTGGAAAATAGTTTGAATAGTTTGAATAATTTTGGTATGTTTTCATTCAGCCTTATACCGCGCTCTTATTAACCTATAATCCTTCTATCAATCAATATTCTCGCRGACGAAAAAAAATCATTATACTTGRACCTCTAMAGAGTTCTCAGAAGCGGACCTTGATTGCTACAGATATAAAGTTAAATTATCTTGAATTCAACAGATTAAAAAGTATCAGAGYAAAAACTTAGTCTTATTTAATTCAGACCTGGACGCTTAACAAACAAATGTAGTGTTAATATGCAAAAGAGAAGRGCATTCAAGTATCACACTGCGTGACAGCCACTTTTACCTTTAGAAGAAGTTCTCGAAAGCGTTTAAGATCGATACTAACCTTACATATTCTAACTAAAGTGCGAAAAACCCTTCAATATAACTGAAAAGTGCTAATAATCTACTGTTAATCTCTTTTAACAGAGTAAACTTTGCAAGCAAACGGTATGTTTGGATAGCGATCACTTTATGTCTTAACTAGCAGAAATCGTCTAGGAATTAATAAGAACACCCTTTTTATTTTTTTTCCATAATTCTATTCTTTTTCTAGAKTAATCTATCAAATTTATTATCAGCTTGAAAAAGCTCCAAGGACTACACACATTCTTACCTCAATATTGTGCTTCTCGGACATTGATTCCAAAACATCTTTAAAATGCTGATATGCGGTGTCGCCAATCCCGGTCAGCGAGTCCCGCGCTTTGGCTAATCTTCTGTCAGCTTCTAAATCCGAGTAATAAAAGTCGGATCGTCTCGAAGGCGATGTGTAGTATCGTTTGCGAGCTGGACTTGTCACCGTTACCTCGGAWGGCTTTGTAGCGTCTTCAGACCCRTTCACCGTTGTTTCTTGGYTAATTTCTTCCATAATGGCCACTAATTCATGCAATACGTTTATACCATTGATGGATTAATCTCTGTTTTTATTTATTTAGAATGATGGAGAGTTTTCAGCGTGATATAAATCAATCCAAACGAGACAYTGGTGGCAGAGTGACTATGACGCGATGACGTGACATTTACATAGAATCTTGGTCATCCATGCTCATCGGATGAGTCAATCGCTATGCAAGAGGGACAATGCTTCGTCGACATCAAGATGAGATTTATTGTCACAAACAGAGTTACGACAATTCATTGCTGTCAACCAAAGCCGTCTTCCAAACCACCCCCGTATGTGTACTTTTGCCGGGTAGTTCACTTCCCACTCGGAGCATAGTTAGTAACTATGCTCGGAGTGTCAAATGGTTTTCCTATTTGGCAAATATCAACATTTAGTCGTGCTTGAGTCAGTTCTTGTGCACTGTTTTAATACTTACTTGTGAGCAAACTTTATTTAGGGAAAACGGCCCAGCCGAAAGCCTATAATAAAATATGGCTAACTTAGGCTTCATCAAGCTGACTGACTTTTCAGTAGCTTCAGTAGAGAACAGCGTGCGCGACCAATTATCAGTATAAAGTGGTTTTCACTTGACCGYGAATTAGGAAACCAATAGAGCAGCTGACTTTAGCCATACAAACAAATACTAAGTCTTATAATAAATATTAATGTTAGTTTCAATAATAAAAATAATAATTTAATAACAACAAAAAAAGAGCAAAAAAGGGGGGAAGAAGGAGAAGAAAAAAAAACTGAGAAAAAGCAAAAACTAGTACAAAACGGTCACACCCATCCAATGGGTAGCCGTTGCGCCCAGTCACGAGGGAGGTGATTAGTCGGATCCTGGTCCATACGTGACTAACCCCTTCTGGTTTGCATGTTTTTTCAAAGTACAATTATTGTAGTCTACTAGGCGCGCGGACTCCCTTGGTTTTGGAACCTGTGTACAAGAGCGTTTGCTTGCATGAGTATACTGGACGCCTAAATCATGATAAATTAAAAATTTCAAATGGCAAAAAATAATTGTGACTACGTATTTATTGGAAGAGAACAAAAAGGCGGAAAAAAGAGACAAAAAAAACATAAGGTTTTGATGCATGATTCGATCCCGTGCCTCGTGATATAGAGTATACGACTACAGGTGCAACGCAGTCAAAGCAAGATGCGTGACTCGCCGGTGAAACACAGTCAATTAATAAAAAAAGGAATTTTTTTTTTTTTTTTTGAAACATTTTGCAAAATTAAGAACAAACTAACACTAGCACTAACAAAAGAAAATATAACTGAAGAATAAAAGAAAAAAAAAGAAAACTAATTTTAAAATTTGTTTCATGAAGAATTTTCGGTCCCACATGCCAGAGAGGGTCCCCGAGTGCCTGGTATAAATACACGATGTGCTGAATTTCCAACACAAGGTGTTCGTCTTTAGTGTGTAGGGTCCGGCTAATCACTTTTTAAAGTTTTTTTCATTCTTTTTTTTCCTTCTATGGAGATGTTCTTTTTTCTGAAATTTATATTGTACAAAAATAATGTCCTTTACACTCCCATATATTTGTAGGAATGAGAGCAATACACACATTGATATGAATAGTCGACTCATTTGTCAAATTCAAAGGAATAATTCACTTGCAATCGAGGCCCAATAGCAAATGAAAAGGTGTATCAAAGCAAGACGCGTGCCAGTCAACGGTGAAACGCAAGCAATCAATTTAAAAGAAAATAAAACTAAAGAAAAAACAGAAAGGAAAAAAATAAACTTTCGGCAAAAGGTGACCACTCGGTCACCCATTAAGCAGATCCCTAGTTCCAGGGAGGCCAATCCTTCAAATTCAAACGTGTGGAGTGAATGTCAAAGTCATATCCAAAAATTGCTAATACAGCCTTACTTGCATTGGGCAACTTTGAAATCTTTCCATGCGTATTAGATGCAGCAAAACTTCCAGATATTAAGAGTTGCTCGTCGGCCATATTTGATATCCCAGAAACCTGTGCCTTTTCAAGGTTTTCACCAAAGGGATCCCGCGTTAATGGTAAAGGAATAAAAAAATGAATAAATCCAAATACTTGAATAAATGTTGTTAATGCTACGTTAATACATTGAATGGTTGAATTTATTGAGTGTCTCATATCAAAAGTGAACTACCAAAATCTCTTTCGTGGTGTTTTTTTAAAGCAATCGTACTTTTTGGATCTCTGTCTCAAACTGGAGACCATTCCTTCCCCGTAATAAAAATACGGTCAAAACTCTCGAAAAGGATTGACTAGAATTATGAATTATGAAAATAGTTTGGGCTTATTGTAAGCACTCTCCCCTCCCTCGTCAATCTACAATACTTGAGCCCACGATACTTTTAATAAAGAGCATGCGTGGGAAATGAATTCGTTTGCGGGAAAACTCATGGAATTTGAGTTTGTGTTAAAGAAGTTGTTATCCACCCTCGGAAAAGTGATCTTTCTGCGATTTTAGCGCTGATTTGAGCAACTTTCTTGTATATACAAGCAATCGAAATAATTGTTCATCTAATCTCGTTCTAATGGTGTGAAAATCAGCTGGCATGAGCCACCAGGAGGACAGGAACGAAAGGGAAGCGGTGAACGCTTCGTCTTCAATCGTCAGAAATACGCCAACAGAGAAAGACAAACCAGTCGATAAACCTAAAACGATTGCTGGTGYTYCCACAGGTAGGAAATGACTTCGTAGCTTTTTAAAGTTTTCAGTGTAATGGAAGTGTGCATATCGGAAGCAAACACAACTTAGTTCTAACTGGTCTCGATCTACAGGATGTATCCKTCATCATGGGTCACGCACGGGCTTTCCAGTTCTGTGAAAAKAATAGATGATATTTTAGGGCTAAATGTCATTTTGTGTCTTTTAACTTCAGTGTAGAACATACATGTATTGAGTCACTTTAGAGAATTATTTATAAATCTCCATTCAACGTATTGATGTGCTCATGCATTGACTTTGAACCTTGTGGATTTGCTAAATAACACACTCTATCAATAAGCTCTTTACTTGTACTGAACACAATGCATTTTATACGTTGACAGGTCCTCTGACGTTGAAATWTCTGCTGATAATTGTCGTTGCCAAGTTGCCAAATTTAATTTCACGTATTTTATTGCCTTTTGTGTTGAGCCCTTGCAACGATTGGTCATTTTTGTGTAGTATTTCCGCCCCTATTTTTATCTCACTTTATAAAAGCAGGTTGGCTTGAGGCAGTATTCGTATCCCATATCGCTCGATAGAAAAGACGTATTTGAATTTGATTTTGGCTGATTTTAATTTTGATTTACTCTAAGTTAAAGTRAGCACGATTTTGTATTTGCTTGCTTGGACAAAATGGTATAATTTTATTGGAAAATCGCATGTCTTTTTTTTCCTTTCAGCCCCAGTGTCAGAGGCACAACAAGCACCTCCACGACCGCCAATGGATGCACCAAAGGTTTGTTTACATGTTGACACAATGTAGTTCACGTTTGAATGTAAAACATATCATTCTTGTTGAGTCTTTGATCACAATATTGTTTTAATTATATTAGYATTTACAATAATTATTGTCATTTTAGTTGTGGATATATATGACTATTATCTTGATTTGTGTACTTACATAGTAGATAAATATTTACTCATGTATGAATGATATGCCACATAGGAACAATAAGAATGCTTGAATTTCCTCTCACGTATTACTTATTATGTTTTAATGCCTTCTAATCAAAGAGGTATGGCATACTCAGAGCTGCATTGAGCAAGCTTGTTTGCTGGTCAGTTTGATTTTAAAAATTGTCAAATATTGTGTTTTTGCAAAAACCAGGAACACATATAATGAAAGAACCATTTTCAATATTCAAATACACCAAATCAAAAATTTAATTTAAAGTATCATCTGCCATTCTTGCATTTAATATATGGTCTAAAAAAAATTATTTTGAAAACGTATCGCATTAAAATGTGACAAAGCATTCAAAGGACGCCTTCTGATGTCTTGTACTTTAATATTATCTTGCACAGGATGATATTCTTGTGTTTTTCAAAATCATTTAACTGGATTTTTCTCTCAGGAAAATAAATATAAATATGCACATCTTTGCACCTGCATGCACTCTGATGTCATAACATACATGTATCATAATAATAGCATGTGAATGAATATTGAAAACATGCTGTTTAATATGATGTTTACATTGATGTATTTTCATTATATCCTTTACTCTAGTATTATTTTATGCCATGGATTTCATTGAATAAATTTTGTAAGTAGGGGGGTGTTCTGAAAAAGTAGCCATATGTGAATCAGAAGGGCCACAACCGTAATTTGGCAAAAGTAACCACACCAAAGTTCAAAATAGATTCACACCTTGATTTATCAAATGGTAATGTTATTATTGTAGAAAKAACTAACTTTCTTCATGTATAACATTCTTCAGACAAGCAAGCCCTTACAAAATCGTCCTATAGCTCCAGCCGCRGCAGCTGCAACATCAAGCATAATGTCCATACCAGGAGCAGGTTACCTGCCATCTACAATACCAGGCTATGGTCATCCTATGATTCCTGGATATCCTCCTATGATAAGGGCACCATTAGGACCTATTCCACCCCAGCATTCCTTTTCACATGTCCCTTTTGGTCCCTCTGCGGCAGCAATAAGTGCAACTGCCTATCCAAAAAGTTTGGGTCAGATACGTAGCACAACCATGTCATCAGCACCCAAGATACCTGGTATGGCAGCTCATCTTYCTGGTCAAGYATCCTCTCTCCCTTCACAAACAAACACCTCTACAAGTGTGACAACAACGTCCAGGCCTTCTTCACCATCTACCAATCCAATAATCAATTCAACAGTACCATTCCAGAGTTCAGAATATAAACAAGCTGAAACTAGAGACCGAGGCTCTCCGCATGTTCCTGAAATGGCTAGAAAAACTAGCTCACCACATTGCTCTTCACCATYAGTGCCAAGCAGTACCACTCTTCTTACTAACACGAAACCAACTTTACCAACTCCTGCTRTACATAAACCTGGTCAACCTATGATGCTGCCACACTTTACRCAGGGCCACAACCCGTTAGCAGTGCTTCCACAACCAGCTGCCCCTCCTCTTAGTGTAGCTGCAGTATGTATCAGTCAAAACCAGCCAAAACCAGCTGTGCCTGTTGCAACAATTGGAAAGATGTATCCATCACATTTAAGTTTGGTTCCTGGACGTCCTGGTCAACCAGAGGGACCTGCTGTAAGTTACTACTCTATTTTGATGGTACCTCTTATTATTGTCTGTTATAACAGTCTTTAGTTTATGATTCCTCTGAAAGATTGACACTGTAAATGTAGGTTATTAGACAAATAAGTGAATTAGTTATTGGCTGACGTTTTGTGTTGAAAGACTGTAATACCATGTGATTCAAAGAGCTGACACTTTGATTTTTGCTTAAAGATTTAAATTTATTATTTTACATGTCAGTCACCAGATGTTTCCAGACTTAGTGGCAARCAAAGTACTCCTGCTTCTCCTGTWACTATCCAGCAACATAGCACAACAAGCACTGTTCCYTCAACTACACATCTGATTGCAGCCAGTACACCACTACAGACGTCTGGTAAGTAGGGTATTAGTTCATAATGGACCAAGATATTTCTATGAATATAGGAAAATACAATGAAAAGACAGAAATTTGATTTAAATACAGGAATATAAGGTCCTTTTGAGCAGGTATTTTTAATCAATTTTATAGTATTCTGTGACTTACCAGTGTATATTTTTTTGTATTTTTTTTTAACATTTTTATTTTTTAATTTCTTAATATTTGCTTATTTTGCAGTAATCAAATTTGTTTTTATTTCCCTCTTTTTGGATGTTTTATTATAAAGTTTTACATTGATTTTCCTATCTTTATTTGTTTTAGCTGTTGTTGATGGACGTGTGGAAAGGTATGGTACATTATAATCAGTATTGCCTTTTTGAAAAAACATAATATTTTTTTAATATTTTATAATATTTTTACCCTGGTTCCAGAGGTTTGATATTTTTTCTCTTCGCTATTGTTGTTGTCGGCACAAAAGCCTATGGAACCAGGGTATAATATTTTTCACTAATTTTGAACGGTTTTTCTGGTTTGATATTGATTTTTATCCTTGATGTCTGAGCATCTGCTATTTAAAAAACAAGATGTCAGACTATTTTGCAGTAATATTCTTCGTTTGCAATATACGTCACAGCTGCCATCTTGTTTGAACTTCAACAAAGGATTTCTAATTAGTATCTATTGTTCATTYAACCAACATGGCAGTCTTTTATCTTTTGATCTCATGAGGATGATTGAAAACGAGCAATTGAAGAATAATTTGAAAATAATATGTTTGTTTATTGTTGGTTTTTAATTCCAGGCCTCATCCAGGAGTATCTCTACCCAGTACCATGATGCCTAACCCAATGTATTCTCAGTATGTCTTTTCTGAGCCTGGACGTGGTAAGCGAATAAGATGATCGCGTGAATAATATTTACTTTCATGAATGTTTGATTGATAAATAAAGAGTTTAACTGTGATAAATAATTGGTGGATTGTTGACTGGTTTATAAAATCTTAAGATTCACACAACTGACACTAGTTGGCATGATCCAAATGATGGAACGCATAGTCCATATTATTGTTTTTGAAAACAAAGTTATCACATAATAATATTATGATTAAAGTAGCGAAGTTGTCCTTCAGTAGMATAGTGTTGTGTAGAATAAAAGTGAAGTTTAGACCATACGCTACTGTTTAGAAAACTTTATTTTTTCAAGCTTTCGTTGGTCGCCGATATCATCAGGAGAATGACAGAAATTTACATACACGAATATAACGAGTTCTGAGTCTTTTGTGTTTAGTGGCATTTATACAATGGGTTTAAACAACAGGTCTTTAAGTTCACTGCATTTGTCACATGGGTTTATTTTGTGTTTCCTGTTATTATGATTATGTTAAGTGCACTGAGCACCCCCTCCCCCCATCATAGGCCTTAGTCCCTGTAGTTATTTACTGATAACCATGGGTACAGTACCCAACTGAATCTTATTTTTTGACATTCTATCCAACTAATGTTATTAACTAATCTATTTCCTCTAGGTTACCCRTTCCCATTTCCTCATTCAGGATTCACACAGCCTTTACCATCAGGCATCCGCCCACCACATACGCAGACAACACCAGCAATGCAAGGAATGCGAATTCTAGACCAGCAAGGATTCTTTGCTGCTGCAACAAATAMTGCAATAAGAAGTAAGAAAAAYCAAGCAATGTACAGTACAAMAAAGGWGCTGATCAGTTTGCAATGTCCAATGTTAAATCTCTGTGAATGGAGTCCTCTGCCCTTAGATTATTGCCGTCATACAATCCACAGAATGTACATGTCTTGAAAAATAAATAATGTTTTCAGAAGAACTGCATTCAATACCAAACAAGAAAATTACTTTGTTTTAATACAGAGAGCATGAAGTACTTAACAAAGTGTTTTTCTRTTATCTTAGATCTAAGCGCTGGAAACATACCAAGTGAAGCTTTAGGKTCAGTTGCAATAATGGACAGTTCAGCAACCAACCCTGCAAGTATGTATAGCATGATTGGGATGCAACAAGCTCCTAACTTACAAATCGCTGTRTCRTCAAGCAATCCTAATGCYACCTCRCCGCGTCCCAGCATTCTACGCAAGCGTACCTCWGAAGGGTAAGTTTTCCAGGAAAGTTTATTTTCTTTTCAAGGTTCACGAGAACAATGGTTGTAAAAAGATATYGTAKGGGGAGGATTGATCTAACTTTTTTGTTGCAAAGACATATTTGAGCGATATAGTTCTTTTTTAATACTAAAGTGGGTTTTATGTACAGGTTTTCTAATATCTATSTTTGATTTTGATATCTGATAGAATACGTAAGCCAGCCATAGTTCCTTACAACAACGATGTGCCGGCACCAGTGACAAGTGAACCTTCAGCCAGTCCAAGGTCAGACAGTACACTCTCTGCTCCACAATCTGGTCAGAGCTCACCCAAACCATCCAGGTCAGT